AGTTGTAGATCGGACCAAGCAGGTGGAGTGGATTCCGAAAGCGCTGTTCGCATGTGCGTGTGTGAATGTGTGTGAATACGCATGTGTGAATGAGTGTGCGCAATGTGTGCGCATGTTTGTATTTGCGTGTGTGAATGTGTGTGCGCATGTATGTATGTGTGTATGTATGTGTATGTGTGTTGATGGTGAGAGGCGCGCCACGCAGATAGCGAGTATCTTATCTGAACACTGCTGTGACATGATAACGCACATGACTGATGACACACCTGGACTGTTTCAGGCCCCATTTCGAAAAAGTCTTGCGTGAATTGGTCATTTCGCGAGTGTTGCACATCGCTTTTGAAGCTGTGCATCCGGGGTGCGCGCGTGTATGTGTGTGTGTGTGTGTGTGTGTGTGTGTGTGTGTGTGTGTGTGTGTGTGTGTGTGTTGTTGAGTGTGTTGTGACGGAAAATGGCACAAACACACAGTGGCGATGATGACATCGCTTCACCCACGCCATATGTGCTCCTCCCCACCCTTCCATTGACACACCTGAATGCACAGCGGCAAACCGTGTCGAGGGTGAACAAGCTGAAGTCCTGCGTCACATCGACAGCTTCTTCAGGGGTGCGCGCGTGTTGTTCAAATTTGGCGGCAAGCTCCTCTGCACTCTCCACCATCGTCTGCATTGCAGTGGATGTGTGTGAGTGAGTAAGCATGTGTGTGTGTCTATGTGTATGTGTGTGTGTGTCGTGTGTGCGAGTGAGTGGTGTGGACGTTGAAGGCGGGTTAAGCACTTGCATGTGCTCGTAAGCCGTCCACACAGGCACACACACACACACACACACACACACACACACACACACACACACACACACACACACACACACACACACCACGCTGACTGACAGGAATGTAGTCCTCGATGACGGCGCGGGAAAATGCTGGGTTGAGCATGTGGCGCATGGACTTCCACTTGGGCCCGTTCTAACACACACACACACATACACAACACACACACACATACATACATACATACATACACGCATACACACACACACACACACACACACACACACACAAGATAACGTCAAACGAGGGAAACAAGCAACAGCAGCAGCGTGAACAAGGGATACGGTACGTGTGAGTGATGTTGCACGTCATGACTGCAAGCTGTAGCTACTCTAACCAACGCGCCACGACAGCAAACGACGCACACACACACACACACACACACACCTACACACACACACGCACACGCACACACACACACACACACACGTCCACATACACACACACACCAGGAGGAGAATGGACTTGAGGCCGAGCCAGTCACCGAGCAGGTTTTGTGCCATCTTCGACTTTGGCTCGTCTCGCAGCACCACGTTCTTGATGTCTTGTGGGCGGCGCAGCGCCTGCAAATGATCAGGGTTGGAAACACGCAAGAATTCAAGTCATCCAGAACATTGGCATTGTCGACACAGACAGGCTCTGCAAGCAGTTTTGTCACGCAAAACAAACTGCTTGAAGACACGCAGCATCTGCACACCCTCATGCACTGTACATGTCTGCCGTCGCCTGTTTTCTTTCACCTGCGCAACTTACGACAATTGTCATGAAGCTGCTGACGCAGTAGCGAATGGGTTTGATCGGATCGACGTCACAGTACTTTATGGCATAATCCATGGATCCGTTTGAGGTGTGCTCCTTCATTGTCCTACTCCAGACACATGGCAAGGTGATTCGCGGCACGGTATGTGCGTGAGAGAAGCGCGATTGCACAAGCAAGCAAACAAACGAACTGACAACCGAGCGAACAAACAAACAAACAAGCAAGCAAGCAAACAAGTGAGTGAGTGCACGTGGACACACACACACACACACACACACACACACACGCACACACACGCACACAAATTTACACACGCACACGCACACACAACGACAGCGCTGACCCGTAAGGAAACTGCATCTTGCCGCCAGCCAACTGCTTCACGGCTTCTCGCAAGCGCCACCAGCGCACGACGGCCCGCACCAGCCACACGGCCAGCGCCGTCGTGACAGCCACAAGCACAAGCTCAGCCACTGCACCTGTCGTCATCTTTGTTGAACAAGAAGGACAGGTGACAAACCTTAATTCAGTCGAATGCAGATAATTTATTGAAATTATTAACAAATTCTCCACAACCGAATACAGCAAGCGTTTTGGTGTTTGGATTTTGGGTTTGCTCCTCGCTTTCCAGTTCCATTCCACCCTTCCACCACTGCCTCTCTCCCTCTTCTTCTCCTCTTCTCCCTCTATCCTCTCGTCTCCTCCCCCTCCCTTCCACCACTGCCTTCTCTCCTTCTCTCGTTCTTATTGCACCACCAGACCACCCTTGCTGCCATGGCCAGTGTACACTGTATGGTGTTGCGCGTGTGTTTGGTGGTGGTGATGGTGGTAACAGCAGCTACTACAAGTACAAGAACTGCCGTGAAAGCGGCCACGACGACCCCCGCCCAGATTGTGCGCGACAGTGACGGCGCGCTGCACATCAACACCAGCGATCCGCTCACGCAGCCCGTGCTGGTAAACGGCGTGGATGTGCTCGAGGAGCTGCAACTGCACCAACGCACGGCGCAGCTGCAAGCACTTACCATCCGCCAATACGCGGGATCACTTGCAAAGCAACAACAGGCCATCTCTGAGCTGACGAGCACGGCGGAAGAGCAAGCTGGCGTTTTGAGCTCACTGCAAGCCACGTTGTGCCGCCTCATACCACCAACCGTGGATACCACCACAATCTCTGGACTCAGTACTGACGTGGACAAGTGGCTTGGCGGCGTGCTGGCAAACAACGGTCTCATTTACGGCCTGCCATACAAGGCGACGTCGGTCCTCATTATCGATCCTGTCGCAAACACGGCTGACACGACCACGATCACGGGTCTGCCGAGCGGCGATGGCGCATGGAGTGGCGGCGTTCTTGCCAACAACGGCCTCATCTACGCAATTCCCTTGGATGGCACGTTCGTCCTCATCATTGATCCCACGTCCAACACTGCAGACACAACGACCATAGCGGACCTGTCAGAAGGTGGCGGCAAGTGGTTTGGGGGTGTGGTGGCTGCGAACGGACTCATCTACGGCATCCCTTGGAACTCCGCTGCTGTGCTGATCATCGATCCAACAACAAACGCCATCGATGTGACCAGCATCGTTGAGCTGTCATCGGACTGCTGCAAATGGCAGGGCGGCGTGCTTGCCGACAACGGCCTCATCTACGCCGCTCCACGCAATGCCGAGAGTGTGCTCATCATCGATCCGGCCACCAACACAGCAGACACGACATCGATTGCGGGGTTCGGCAACGGTGGTGCCAAGTGGGTAAACGGCGTTCTTGCACCCAACGGCAAGATCTACGCGTTCCCATACAGTGCCACAAGCGTCCTCATCATCGACCCAGCCACCAACACGGCCGACACGACATCGATCGCGGGCCTGCCCTCCGACGAGCACAAGTGGCGCAGCGGCGCGCTGGCGAGTAATGGCAAGATTGTGGGAATCCCGTTTCGTACCGTGTCCGTTCTCGTTGTCGATCCTGCCACAGACAGTGCGGATACCACAAGCCTCGCTGCACCGTCATCCTCCTCCAATTACTGGTTTGGCGGCGTGCTTGCCAACAATGGCCTCATCTACGGCATTCCACACAGTGCCAGCTCCGTCCTCATCGTTGATCCTACCCCTGGCTGCTAAAGAGCATACTTCTGTGCTCTTGTGGTTTGTTGTGTGGGGTGTGTGTGTGTGTGTGTGTGTGTGTGTGTGTGTGTGTGTGTGTGTGTGTGTGTGTGTGTGTGTGTGTGTGTGTGTGCGCGCTTGCTTGCGTGCGTGCGTGCGAGTGAATTGTGTGGTTTGTGTGCGTGTGTGTGCGCGTGTGCGTGCGTGCGTGCGAGTGAATTGTTTGAATTGTGTGCGTGTGCGTGTGCGTGTGCGTGCGTGCGTGCGTGCGTGCGTGCGTGCGTGCGTGCGTGTGAATTGTTTGAATTGTGTGCGTGTGCGTGTGCGTGTGCGTACGTGCGTGCGTGCGTGCGTGTGTGCATTGTGCGTGTACGAGCGTGCGTATTGAACTTGCACACACGTCTATGCGCGTGTGTGTGTTCGTGTGTGTGCGTGTGTGCGTGTGTGAGTTGTGAGTGCATACACGTGGATGCTCAGACTGTGAGCTTACTGTGCGTTTGTCTGTGCTCTGTCTCCTCTTAGCTGAGTAGCCTTCTGGTCCGTTACATGACCACGTTTTGCCCTGTTCCCTCAATAACACACTGCAGCACCCTTAACCGCTGTTGTGGTGTTGTCTCTTTTCTCCCTTCTTAGCTTCTTGCTTGATTGAAGTTCTCTCCTCTGCGGGGGGGGTGTGTTGTTTGTTCTTCACGGGCAAGTCCCGCGTTCTCACATCTGTGGCAGACAGCAAAGAACAAAGAACAGTTTGAGTTACAGTTCCACACCTACACACCAAGACGTTTGTGCTCGTGTGCGTTCGCTCGCGCACATCATGTATGCTGTGTCACTGTTCGCTCTTCACTGACACCAGGAATCATGTAAGATTTCCGCAAATTTTCCTCAAACAGCGCACAACACCACGATGACCACGATGATGATGCATTCGTGGTTGTTTGCCCTTGTTGTCCTGGTCTTGCTGCTCCTCCAGCGGCGCACCGCGTTGGTTGGCGCGGATGTGGTGCTGGAAGAAGATGAGCACGGTGCGTTCCACATCAACACCACCCAGCATGGGCTTGAGCAGCAGCGCCCCGTGTTTGTGAATGGGGTGGACGTGGCGGAGATGTTTGAGCTGGTGCAGGAGCAGCACAACACGTTGCGCGACTTGGATCGTGAGAACGCAGAGCAGGAGCAGCAGCTACGCCATTTACAAGGGCGGCTGTGCCGACTCGCGCCGAGGGAGCCCGCGGCGGACACTACCACAATCCCCGAGCTCAGTACTGACGTGGACAAGTGGCTTGGCGGCGTGCTGGCAAACAACGGTCTCATCTATGCCATTCCAGTTAATGCCCCATCCGTCCTCATCATCGATCCACGCACCAATACAGTTGACAACACAACTCTGGGAGGGCTTCTCAGCGGAGGCTATAAATGGGGTGCGGGCATTCTTGCCGACAACGGCCTCATCTACGGCATGCCATACACAGCAGCATCGGTCCTCATCATCGACCCGACGACAAACACAACGGACACCACGACCATTGCGGGGCTGTCAACTGGCAGTGCCAAATGGCTGGGTGGTGTTGCTGCGAACAATGGACTCATCTACGGCATCCCGTGGAACTCCGCTTCTGTGCTGATCATCGATCCAGCAACGAACACAGCTGACCTCACCAGCATAAATGGATTTGTTGGAAGCAACAAGTGGTTTGGCGGCGTGCTTGCCGATAACGGCCTCATCTACGCAACACCTTTCTCTGTCGAGAGCGTGCTCATCATCGATCCAGCCACCAACACAGCCGATACAACAAGCATTACAGGCCTCTCTGGCTCACGCAAGTGGGCAGGCGCCGTCCTGGCAAACAACGGTCGCATCTACTGCATGCCGCAAGACGCGGGTTCCGTCCTAATCATCGATCCAGCCACCAACACAGCTGATGCAAGCATCATTGCCGTGTCATCGACTCAACAGAAGTGGCGCGGCGCTGTGCTTGCGAGCAACGGCCTCATTGTCGGCATTCCACTCACGGCTGATTCCGTCCTCCTCATTGATCCCACGACGAACACCGCGGACACAACCACGCTCGCTGTGTCCCCAGACACGTTGAAGTGGGGCGCTGGCGTGCTTGCCAACAATGGTCTCATCTACGGCATTCCTTACGGCGCCAGCTCCGTCCTCATCGTTGATCCAGGCTGCTGAAGCGCGTGCATCTTCTATCTTCTATACCACGCCTTGTGAGAGATGCCGCAGAGCTCAGCTGTTGTCATCATAGCAGCTGTCTGGCTTGTGCTTGGAGTCCTCTTGTCGCCGCCCTACGTGTTCTCTCTTTGCGCTTCTGCACCCTCTGTTGCCCCCCCCCCTTCCTCGAAGCTTTGTTGGTTGTGGGCTGATCGTTGGTGCTCATGCTTGTTGTTCTCGTTACCCTCGATGTTTGGCACATCCATATGCCCACAAGAGACCGCACCATGAATAAATACCGAGTAGAAGAAGGCAGACAGCACCAGCAAGACAGGAGAGAATGGCAAGGGAGGTGAAGCAAGCGCTCTCAGCACGGCTGTGCTGGCGGTCTCGTGCGTGACACAGGGTTGTGGTTGTCTCAAAACTTAAGCATCAGAGTAGCAACCAAGATGTGTGAGTGAGTGCGTGAGTGAGTGTGTGTGTGTGTGAGTGCGTGAGTGAGCGAGTGAGTGAGTGAGTGAGTGAGTGTGTTTGTGTGCGTTTGAGTGAGTGCGTGCGTGCATGCGTGAGTGAGTGAGTGAGTGCGTGCATGCGTGTGTGTGTGTGTGTCCACGATAACCCAAGAGCATCAGGTTCCGACACCAAGTGAAATCGAATCAACACGCGAAAGGAAACAAGTTGGAAGGTGCAACAAGACGGCAAGCAGAACAGCAGGCAGGAGTCGTCGATCCAGAGGAAGACGTGGAATGTGGAAGAGGGGTTAGGCGAGTTGCCTCAGCAGGCGGTTGGCCTGGTCTTGAACAGCGGCGTTGGCTGGCAGGTTTCGCTTTGCCTGTTCGGCGACCACCGCGACGCGCTTGGAACGGAGTTGCTGGCACACGCTCGCGTGCCTCGCAAGAATGCCCAGCGCAACACAGCCGTTGTTTTGCACGACAGCCTTCTTGCCGTGGTTCTGCATCGCGGCAATCACAGCGTCCACCCCACCTTTGGAGACTATCGCCATCTTGTTGGCATCGTTGCATGCCAGCTCCGCCAGCGCCACGCACCCTTGGTGTTGCACACCGCCGTTGCTGCTGAATCTGTTCATTGCCGCAACCACAATCTCAATCCCGCCCTTTGCGGCAATCGCCACCTTGTTGTCGTTGTTGATCGCCAGGTTAGCCAGGGCCGCGCACGCACGCTCTTGCACATCGGCGTTCTGGCTGTGCGTCGTCAACGTCCTCATGACTGCGTCGATGGCGCCCGCTGCCGCAGCCTGCACACGCGCAGAGGGATTGCCTCTCGATTGGTCTTCCAGTGCCTGACAGGCACGCCATTGCACGTCTGCAGAGGCGGGAAACGCATGCATCAGCTGCACAACCTCAGCGGCGTGCATGCTGCGACCACTGGCCTGCAGCTTGCGCACGGCGTCCTCCTCAGCACCACCGCCACTGACTGCCCGCACGCCATGCACTTGTGACGAGGAAGCGGAAGAAGGGGAAGAAGTGGCAAGCGAAGTTGCACGAACTGTGCCTGTCGCTTGCTGCTGCTGTGGTTGTTGCTGCGTCGCCGGCGCACCAACACCACTCACGTTCTTGAGTTTGGCGATGATGGCGTCCACGAGCTCACCTGGCGGGTCGGAACGCTCGGCGCCTTGCGGCTGCCATGGGTGGTAGGCGATGGTTGGCGGAAGCCAGAAGCGCGTCTTGGCGTGCTTGAAGCGGTCACACATCTTCACCAGGAAGAACGGCTTCTCGTCGTTGATGATGAACTCGAGCTCCTCGCGCGAGCTGAACTTGCTGTCCGTCTTCTCGCCGTACGTATGTGTGCCCATGATCACCACCAGGTCGCACTCGTCGATGGCCTCGATCACGGCGTCCGCGATGCTGTTGCCAGAAGCAACGGCGCACAGGAACGTGGGCACGCCCCGCTTGTCCAACGCCTTCTTCAGGGCTTCGCTCTCCTCCATGGCCTCGCTGAAGCGCAGCGAGATGAACACCCGGTGTGGTGGCATGGTGCTTGTTCGCTTGCTCTCTTGTTCACTCGGCGTTGATCGGTGGGGTGTGTCAGGAAGGGGGTGAAAAGTGCGCAGTCTCCGCTGTCAACTTTTCGTCCACGTGTGCGCGTCTTCTTCTCCACAACAACAACAACAAACAAGTCCTGCCAAACTCCTTCCTTCTCGTGTTCCTTCCCTCATCATCCTTCCGTCATCCTCCACTGACACCCTTGAGCCAGCGCGACAACTGCTGTGCTTCTGCGCGCGCGTCCACGTGTGCACGATCCGTTGTTGTTCAGTGGGCCGTCATCACTCACTGTGGTGCTTCATTTCCTGCAGCTGTCAGTACCGCAAGTCCTTTCGACAAGACCCCCCCCCTCCCCACCATGTCCGACTTTGTAGTGCGTGAAGCCACGCTTGCGGACCGCGACACCATCCTCGGCGAGCTCTCAGACAACATCTACAACGGCTTCGACTACATGTGTGTGTGTGTGTGTGTGTGCCTTGTCTGTCCTCACCGCTCTCCTCGCGACGACACTGCTCACTTCTCTGCTCTCCTCGCGACGACACTGCTCACTGCTCTGCTCTCTTCACTGCTCTGCTCACTGCCCTTGACTCTGCCAACTCCACCGCTTACTCACTGCCGCCCCCCTCCAATCCGCGCACCATCTGCTTCGCTTGCCAGCCCGTGCTGTTACCAACGCTGGCTGCACGACGATGAACATACGATGCTCTGCGTGGAAGAGCGCAACACAAACACCATTGTCGGGTTCGAAGTGATTGGGCTGTACGACGGCGGCCGGTGGGTTGCGTCGCACGCGGCTCCACCACCTTGCGTGTCTGAGTGCCGTGGAACACGCTTTGTTTGTGCCACTACATCACATCACCAAACGCTGCCCCCAATGGTCTGTTCTTAATCCGCTCCCGCTCCCACTGTCACACTCACATTGAGATTGCCACTTCTCCGCCTCGCTTCACCGTCCCCCGCAACAAACACACCAGAACGGCCGTGTATCATGCATTGCGCGTGCACCCGGCATACCGTGGCCAGGGCGTGGCAAAGCTGCTCGGTCGGGCCCTGCAAGAGCGCACGCGCCGCGACTTTCCAAGCGTCACTCATATCCGCAGCTGCGTTCAGGACAAGAACCCCGTTGCTCTTGGCATGCACTACAAACAGGTTCAGGCGCTTGTGCCAGCAGCTCACTCTTTACCCCCTCATTGCACAGCCACCAACTCTACGTACGCGTCACCAGCCACACGCATTGTGCTCACGAGAACTTGCTTCTCACTCTGTGTGTGTGTGTGTGTGTGTGTGTGTGTGTGTGTGTGTGTGTGTGTGTGTGTGTGTGTGTGTGTGTGTGTGTGTGTGTGTGTGTGTGTGTGTGTGATAGGGCTACAAGCCTGTGTCCACAACTGCGTTCCGGTACGCGGAGATCCTCAAGCCCGTCCCCCGCTCCGTCTTCAAACCAGACCAGCTCGGCGTCAAGAGGTTGGCGTGTGTGCGTGGGCGTCTCACCCTGATATACTCACACTCTCCCTCCGCTCCCTTCCTTCCCTCCACCCTTCCATTCCTCCCACGCTTCTCTTGTTCCCTCTCACATTTCACATGCCACCCTTCTTCCACATGTCTTCTCCAACCACTACCACCCTCTTCAAACCAATAAGGGTGTCTGCACAGGAGGTGTGGGGGCTGCTGTCACGCATGCCGGAGAGCAAGCGGCTTGAGCTCATACCGGGCAATGCGCTGCTGGTGGATTGGATCCCGCGTGACGCCTGCATCGAGTCCCTCCTCTTCATGGAGGAGAAGGAAGGTGTGTGTGTGCGTGTGTGTGTGTGTATGTGTGTGTGTGTGTGTGTGTGTGTGTCGTGTGTCGTGTGTCGTGTGCGTGTGTGTGTGTGTGTGTGTGTGTGTGTGTGTGTGTGTGTGTGTGTGTGTGTGTGTGTGTGTGTGAGTGAGAGTGTGTGTATGGGGCAGGTGCGCTCCTCTCCACTCGGGGTGGGTGGAGTTCAAAGAGGGCTCTCTTCTCTGCCACGTTTTACATATCTCACGCTCTCTGTAGTCTCAGCCTCTTCTCACCCTCTCTCTCTTCCATTGTCCTGAGAATCAGAAAATCATGATCGCCCCCCCACAAAAAAAAAAAGAACTTTATGTGAGTGAAAGGAAGGCGACGA